GCAAGGATGCTACTAGTAGCTCCTGGCCTTACTACTAGTAACAAGGACGCTACTTGGTGGAAGAGTTGCACCGTGCAGGGCCCAATGCGTCACCTGAAACAAAGGTCTTCATTGCTTCTTGGCCGTGGGTGAAGCGCGTGGTTTGGTCCAATGGAGAGATGATTCGGTCAAATGGGTAAGGTATATACTTCTATCAATCATGTTATAATTGCTATGTGGAGAGGTCCCCAAATAGATATAAAAACAAGTTTCAATCATGTTTTTACAACAGATTTTGCTTCTATTATTTATGTTGGGTCACTAACGGTCAAAATCTGAAGACTCTATTGACATGTCCTCAATGTGGCAGCTTGGGTGCACTGAAAGATGCCTAGGAACTGGGAAACACGTGTTTCAACATGCATGTGCGCTTGCACAGCCTCAAACATACATAGCACCCACGAGGCGGGAGGAACAATATCTTCAACACCTTTCCCTATAATTGTTACAAGCAGTCAGGGTATCCAACACTTGACTTGAATCAGAAGTCCCAAGTGACGCCCCATGGATCTTTTGGACCACCCAGACAACCCAGGTTCGATCACTCCCAATTCCTCTTGGAGGATCACTTGAATCTAGGCCACCTCGCCATATTGGGCTTCCAAAAGCACCCCTCCATGGCTGGACCGAGCCACCATGCCCTCCGAGGCCAGCGAGGCACTCCGAGCTCTTCTGTTGCGCTGCGAGCTGGTCACACCGCTCAACCTCACCGGAGACACCCAAGATTCGCATGTCCGGTGCGACAAGAAAAGGAGCGAAACAGCTCGGTGTTCATTTTTTCTGGGGAAGCACAGAGGATAGTATCAAACAAAAACGTGCGCAGGGTTGTGCGAAAACCAAAGAAACATTGAATTGTGGTGATTTTCTTCAGAGGTTCGTTCTTTCAGAGGAGAAAAGACTCTTGAAAAGAAATGAAAAAAGAAACATGAAAGTTCCGGCCAAAGGAGTTTCAACCTGAAGAAGCACTGCAAGCATCAAAAAACATGAGGATCATACATCACCTTGAACCTGATGCAACTGGCAGAGAGATCATGCTTTTCAAGTGAAAACCAACTGTGGACTTGGCAATTAGTCTGGTAGTTTGGTATTCCCGCAAGGCTTCCCTGCAAAAATCAACCAGACAGAGAGTTTGAACACATTCACAAGCCCAACAAAACCCAAAGTGTTCAAACCACCATGTTGGTGTTGAGTTGGAACCTTGGCTTTGCTTCGTTTTTCAGCGCTTGGATTGGAGGGTTTTAAGAATGCAAGCAACCCCCTGGAGTCTTGCTACCTAGAAGCTGCTGTGAGGACCCTCAGGCCAATAGACCTCCTTGCTTGCTTGGCTTCTTCTGGAGCTACTTTGAGTTAGGACATGTTAGCACACTGGAAGCTCAATGTTTGATTTTGTGGGATCAATTGGACCAGAACTCCTAGAGGATCAAAGACACACACACATTTTGTCAAATAGATTTTGTTCCAACTGTTACAAACTGTGTTTGTCCAATAGATGTTTTCAAATATGTGTTACACATCTTACAAACTGTTCTCGAAAACAGGTTCTACCTCTTTTTTCGTGAGGGATTCCGAAGAGCTGAAGAAGACAATGATCCTTTGACCAGGCCTGGACCTCCAATGAAACATGTTTCTGTATGACTCAGAACCGGTGGAGTTAAAGATTTTTGGACCGGTAGGGTTTGACCATTGAACATCCATGAGGCTAGAATACGTCGTCTGGGTAAATGCATGCAACTATTGTGGAAAACTTGCTACGCAAACCCTCAGATGGTAGCATAGGCTGAGGCTAGGTAGGTTTGACACGTTGAATAGATTGGAGACATCACAATTTTCCAGCATAGACAGCCAGCCCAGCCCATTGGGGCACGCGTTGGCATTTGCCTTTCTAGAGAACATTTGGTTTGCTGCTTGGAAGGTCTTTTTTTGGGCTCACAAACCACAAGGGTCGGGGCGCAAAAGCTGTCTCGGTGCGTGCAGCTTGGAGAAAACCGAACACGGAGGCCGTGTTGCTGATCGAGGTGTAAGTTCCAAAGAAGAGAAGAAATCTTTCACATAGGAACATCATAGAAGAGGGCCCAACTGTTGCGAGTGGGGCAGTGTTCAGGATCGTAGTTGCTGGATTGGCCGAATCTGAGAAAAATATCACTGTCGTCCAGCTGATGTGGAATTACTTCAAAATCTTACAACTGCCATGCCTTCTGTAGTTTCTACCGAACCTAGTTCCAATTCGGCAATGTTCTTTTACTAGAAACAGGGAGATGAAGCCAAACAGATATTAGCATTTTGTCCTCATGAGGAGTCCTCAAATTGTACTTAGTTGTTGATAGCCATATATGAATGAGACAAATCCATGAAGATCTGCAGTTGTTGCACTTCGTATGATCAGGCATGCATGCATGCAAGGAATGTTTGAATCAGCAATCATGTCACACTACTAGTACTAGTGTATATATATATATATGCTAGTATAGTTTGGTTGCCACTTCCAGTACTGCTGCAAAAACCATAGCTCACGACCACTAGCAGCGCATGTTCACGAACATCAGATACATGATGGTGATATATAGTGTCCCATCCTTCAACCGTAGAGTTTATCAAGTGTCCCATGGGTCGGGGCAGCGTCCGTGGTGCGTCCGAGGACCATGTTTCCGCTGTGGATCCTCCTGCTGTCCGTTGCGTTGGGCCGTGAGCAGCATGAGGCGTTGACTCCCCGTGGTGCGTCGACGCCGCATAAACTCTGAGCTTCCTTTCGTTGCAGTAGACGGGTGGATGCGGGTGGTTTGGGTTCGATGAGAGGGAAGGAACTCGGAGGTGGCATGATTTTGCACGAAAAACACAACAACTTTCCCAGCTTTCCCCCGTGGCCCGTAGAAAAAACATCAAGAGAATCCATGGACCATGTTATGTGGCCACATGTGGCCAACAGAGGTCTTGTTTAGATGTGGGATATTTGGGGACTAAGTCTTACAAAGTATATAGGCCGCTTTCATCCAGGTCGATGAAGCTAGGTCAGCTCAGCTATGGCGGGTGGTCGATGGATCAGTATTTATGATTTGGTAGTGGTCCTTTGCTTGATGTGTGAGTCTCTGACTCAAGTAGTCAATGGTTTTGTACTTATATATTACATTTTACTTCCATGACTCGAAGAATAGACGTTGGGTTGCAACGCTCGCAAGGGAAACGCTACGTTCATAGGTCTATGCCAATTGCTTTGTTTGGTTTGGTAAACTGCCAAAACGCTGGCACCGAACGCAGGCAGATCCAACCACCTTCAAGACCTATAGGTCGCCCTGGTGTCCTTGACATCGACCAAGTTTGAACAGGGGTACCCTTCCTGGAAGCACTATAGGATGGCACCAGCACCACCTGTTTGGTATTCGGTTTTCATATGATTTCGTCCTCCGAAGTCGGAGGCATGCCGCTCCACCATGATGAGCCCAGGGAGGGGTAGACTCGAAGGTCAAACTGACCGATGCAAATCTGAGATCTTCCATGTGCTGGTTTCCGTTGAACGATGTTTCAAGATGTTCACGTGCAGGCTTTTTGAGTACTTTACGGAAGCTACTCCTACCTAGCCGTGGCACGTTTAACCTGTCTTGCAAGTACTGGGAATGGTAAAGGGTGGTCCCTTTCCCCAAAGACCTCTTTCGGCCCTGATCTCACGGTGGCATCGCCGCGTAGCCAACCAATTCGTTGGTGATTTGCCCGGCGACTGGAGCCCATCGCCAGGAAGCCAGAGGCGAGCCGGCAGAGGAACGATGGAGCCAACGGAACATATTCGGGCATCTCTGGAACAGATATGTTCATTTTTTAGTGTTCCGGCACCCAGCCCCGGCAACCGGCACTGTGGACCTGTATTGTTCAGTTTGACAGCTCACTCATTGAGTTCCACGGGGCAACTGGTGTCCTGGTGGGAAGATGGCCATCTAAAGGATTCTTCTAGCATGGATTTAGACCTGCACATTTCCGTCCGGAGTCTGAGCGACCAAACAGCGTAGATTCAGAATACTAGAGACGACGATCACGGCAAAAACAGGTCAACTATGTTTAAACGGGCATTCTTTGAAGGCGAAAAAGGGCACTTCTTTGATCACTTCGCTCCTCAAACTCGAGACCCATCTGCCCGGTCTGCCATGTTGCCCATGTGCAAGCCGAGTGAACATGCAGGTGAGTTGAAGATCGAAACATACAGCTGGCATGGAAAGTGCCTGGTCAAGGAAGAAGGCTGTCAACTGGGAATGATATTGTATTGTATTGTATTTTTGTATATCATGCATATATATATATATATTTAAATATTATGTTTATATATTTGTAGTGAGACCAGTTTTCGTAGGTCAAACTATTGGGATGGTTTCTTCCATGAACTGCCATGAAAACTCTGAAGCCGCGAGTCATCATCGTCGATGTTTGTAACGGGGAAAGGATGATGACCGGATTCTATTGTTGTTCATCCTTTTTCATCCACCGTGTCTTCTCCAAGAACAGGGGAACTATTGGGAGGGACACTATTGAGGCTATGTCAGCTCCTATATATTAATCTATTTCATTGGCTTTCATTGAAAAAAAACATTGAATCTATGTTGGACAGGACCCTGGTGTGCTTCCAGACTCATTTGTTGAGAGGTTGAGGCCCGTGATCGAGACCCTTCCTGAGAAGACAGTTTACACCAGAAAGACTTGATAAAAAGAGCTCACAGTGCTGCTGCTTGTGCTGCTTCTATGTCTATGTTTTTCAATTTGTTTCTATGCAACCCTATGCTTTCCAATTAGATTCAATCGTGTTCTTCTTCTATGTTGGCTTATAGGGAGGAAAACAGGTGAATAGTATCCCTGTGATTGGTGTCCCACACGGTTTGAATGACCATGTTCATGTTCTTCATATATTGTATATATATATATATATTTAATATATATTCATGATGAAACGGATTTCATGCCGCCCACTCGCGCCCACTCCGTCGTTTTTCTTCTGTTTCCAAGGACATTGAAAAAGACCTTGCAGATTCAACCGGAGGAGATGGCTCAGCGCGTGAGAATTGGATGTGTCGGAATACATCTTTAGCGCCCCCAGGGGTTAGGAGTAGATGTGTTCCTCTTTGGGTTTCAACAGTGACTGTGTGTGTTACCTGTTCTTGCACCCGCTTGGCTTAGTTTGGGTTCTTCAAAGCCACCCTCCTCTTCAGATTGAATGGACCACAGGAGCCTGCCAAAATGTTCAAGCAAGAAACCATTGTTTGATGGAGGTCAAATGATGGACACACGCACCGAAAATTCCGGGCGATGAGATCTTTTGCGGGTGCGAAGTTCTGTAGGGGCTCCTGGCATCGCGAACCGAACGGAACAAGAGGACGCTACCGGTAGTGGGTCGCACCCGGAGCGTAGGTTGGCCGGCTTCGGGTGGTTTGTTTGTTGGTCTGTGGTCAACAAGGGTTCACGCTTTTAACCTGCAGTCATTTTACTTGGCATAGGATCTGAGAAGTGATCTGAGAGGATTGTTCCTTTCTCCATCTGCATGAAGCAAGCAACTGCTGTTTGGGCTGGCGTGAGGTTGTTGATTGACCTAGTACTGCGACTATGGTGAGTCCTTTTTTTGGAATTGCACAGACAGAGAGTAAACGTTTTTGATTTCGCACCAAATTGGTGGCAGATCCGAAAAAGGACTCTTTTGCAAGTGAGAGTCGCGGCCAATGGGAAAACATAATGCTTATACTTAGGCCACAAGGTACCACCTGACACCAATCCGAATCGCAGGGCTGGCGAATTTGGCGAAGGTTTGCTCAACTTTGGAATCCATCCGGCTGGACACTAGTGCTCTTGAAAGGTCCCGGAGACCCCATGGTAGCAGCTGGTAGCAGCTATGGTAGGCTTCAATCTGCGGGATTTGGACCAAGGTTTTACTGTGCCCTTGGACTTGGACCTTGTCGGGGGTCGGGTGTTTGGTTCTTGAGGTATGATTGTTTTTGGATATCCGCCCATCCAAAGCAGAGCTTCTTCGGCAGGACCAGGATGATGTCTCCAAAGCCATCCAGGCCGTCCATGAGGAGCCAAATCGTCCGCGAGGGGGTGCTATTGGGTTGGCCCCGCCAACGCTGTGGTCCCAAAAGAGGCTGTGTGATTGAGTGGGAACTCATGACACCAATGAGGTAAATTTGCCAAGGCTCCCAGATGGATGACAGTGATGGCCTTTGTTTACGCTTGTTCTATGGGTCCAGAAACAGCATGACGAGCCAAGAAAACCACAAGTATGAAACACGAACTGATTGTCCCTTCAGCTTCCATGGTACCTAAATATTGCCCTTTGCACCTTCAGTGGTGGTTCTGGGGTATCATGTTTGGGTGAGAGAAGAGAGGAGAGGATCGTTTGGTGTATGCCATGCAAGGAGCGCTCTTCTAAGGCTTTTTGTTGCTAGATTCCCAGTTTGAGTCTATACTGGTATCCAAGCATGAAGGTGTTTCAGCCTCATTGAGCTATGTCTTCTCACAAGCAGTCAATGAATCCATACCAGGAGCCTCCGACTCCGACGGGTGAATTTGCGACCTGTTAAGGCCCCAACGATTCCTCCGACCCGCAACTCACTACCTGTTGGAGCATACTACATGGCCATGGCATTAGTAGCTCAACAACCCTTAACCCTCTTTAAATCGATGGCCTTTCACCCTCCAAGAAAAACAAACGCCTTCCAAAACTTTCAACCAACAAAAACATATAATATAACACCACTTTCTGCCTCGCTGCCGCTTGCCTCGCCGCGGCCGTCGAGATGCCTGCCGTGGCTCGATCCGCCGGAATCTCGTGGCTCGAGATTCGCATCCGCTCCGCGCTCGATCCGCCGACGATCCAAAAAACGGTCGTGAAAACCCATCGTGAAAGCGCGATGAGTCGGCCACTTGGGTGAAGATGAGCGAGAAGGAGGGGCGGGGTTTGGGAAGGGAAAAGCAGAAGGACGATGACGATCCCTTTTCCTTTATATGGAGCCTTCGAACTGGTTTGATTTGGACCCATGGCAGGGATTTGGGCCCTCAAAACCGTCACGTTTCAGGGCCCTGGATTCTTATAGGCTTGGAGAGAGATGGTGGACTCCTAAGATGGAGAAAGATGTTGAAAGAGCTTGGATGCTTAAGACCGGTGTTAAAAACACATGCGTTTTTTGGCGTGCACTTGTATTGTTGCGCAGTTTTTTTGAAGTTTAACTTGCCGCTTGCCCAAATTGATATTGTGTTATATATCGTGAAATGTAATTATAGTGTTTGTTGCTCATTGAGGGGAATCGTGCACTCGTTTCTGAGGAGCAGGACTGCGCAACTGAAAGGTGCAAACCAGACATGCCAAAATTCTAGAAAGGCTTTGAAGCAGCACAGACAGCTACAGTGCAGTGTAAAGCAATCCTCACCATTCTCAACATGTTTCCCAAACACTTGTGAATACTACCTGTTGACCGATCCAGCCAACCGGTCTACCCGAGGTCCTTCGCCTGCCTTGCCAGCCTGGTCTTCGTGGCCCAAGGGGCACGCGACTTGATGCCCTTTTCCCGGCTGCAGGCGCCGAGCGAGTGAGCTTACTGGAAATTCTACACCTGAAAGCAGGGGCAGGCCCTTGTTGTTTACTTGTAGGTTGTTTTTGTTTCTGGTTGATTTCACGCAAGAGACTGACTGGTTTGGAGTCCTGTGATCGTAAGTCAGCAAGTAATTTGCTTGCTAGTTTTGATAACTCTTGAGTCCAGTGTCAAAAACACCGGGTCAAACACTGTTGATGTTCACCAATCCAATATTGTTGTTGTTTTCTTTTGACCGATGTGAATTGTTGATTATATTTATGTTGCCTCCATGCTTTCTTGCTAGTAAACGGCATCAACCAAATTGGAAAAGACGATCGACTTGATCTCAAATGAAGGGTTGGCAAAACTCGAGGTCAACCCCCTCCAGCTCACCTCCATGGTGCGTCCGGAACAGTCACTGATGTTCATCGATCCTCCATGGTGTTGCCGACGTCTGGTCCTGGTCGTCAAGGAAGACCGGCCCCAGAGACGGTGCGAGACCGGTTTCACCAGCTGATACCAACAGACCAAACGGTCTGCGGGACAGGGTCCTCTAAGTTGTGGTTAATGTGACATGCCTTCGAATTAGACACCTCGACAAAGGATCAAAGGATGGGGGCTTGGGTTGATAAGTTCGTCGTTGCCGAAAACACTAGAATCATTCGACCCTAGATAGCTTATGATGATCATCGTGTGACATACTCATAGATTATGCACATATATATATATATATATCTAATATGTTGCATATACATCATAATTGTTATGAGCATCATATCACATCCATGTGGCATTGGACCCTGGTGTCACCCAGGCCGGCTCCGGCCCAACCAGGTGAGCTCCCCGCTGAGTGTGGAAGTGATCACCGATCCAGGCCGAAGTGAGGCGAGGGCCGCTTTGGAGCTGCTGAAGGAGGCTAGTTGTCACATGTTTTCCATAACACTACCGTGATTTCAATGCATTTCATATCATATCATTTCATATATATAATATATGATAATATATGTCTTGCGATGTATATATTTATTCACAAGGTTTCCATGCTGTTTCCCTTGTTTTTCATGTTTTCATGAAGGGATGTAGATGTAGTACTTGAAGGTTGCTGCGGATGCGCGCTGTTTGAGGAGCGGAACAATAGGACTTTGAAAGGGGAGCATCCCAACCCAAGTCGATTGATAGTGCTTGCTGACTGCGGTTGGGTTTCCAAGACTGTCTCATCATCTGGGTCAATATGTGGTTCTCCAAAGATAGACCAAAGACCAACGGCCTCGCGTACAAGGCCCAATCAGCATATCTAAGATCATACCACGGGCCTTAGAGAAGGTATCTTGGTATGGTCTTGATATACCAACTTACAAGTACTAAGTGCATTGGTATGTCTTGGTATGTCGTGGTCTTCGGTATCAGACCCTGGACATCTCGACTTTCAGGACATGTCCGACGGTCGATCGCGTGAGGCCTCCTTGGCCGTGGCGGCGGATGACGTCGGCCTCGGCTGGACGGTGCGGGCGATGGTGGTGTGACTTGGCGATGGTGCCACGGGCAGAAGATGGAGGTTAGCTGGAGATCCTCAGTTGAGGCACCACTCGGAAAAGCTGGAAGAGTAAGGAATAGCACCTGAAATCTACATATGTTCGAAACAGGGAACATGCTGATAGCTGATAGCCCCCAAAGAGGTAGACTGGTAGTCTGTGTTCCTTTTTCCTGATCGAACTGAAAGGTCTTGGGATTCAGAGACCTGGTAGGGAGAGGAGGTTGACCTGGAGTCAATGTAGGCAAATATTTTATCCATGGAGTTTTTGGGTTCTACTCCAACCCACTGCCTCTTTTAAATCAGCCACCTATAGTCCAAGACATTCCCATTGGCTTCGTCACCTCATGACTGGGATTTATTGGAAAGGATTGGAGCAGGTTTTAGACCGGCCGTGAGAAAGGGACAACGGAGAACCTCTGACCATGCTGCATGGTTTGTGGGACAGCTTGTGTCTAAGGAGGTTTCCCGATAGCATCATTATTCTACAACACCGGATTTTTTTTTCCCAGACACTCCATGTATGCCACAAAATGCCTACATTGACCCCGAAAACCACCCCAATGTAGGCATATCATATATGGCAGTCCCATGGAGTGTCTGGGTATGGCGTTGCCACATGTTTGCCAAGAATCTGTACTATCCAAAACAACGACGCCTCTGACTCTATTTCTGGTTCTTTAGGAGAGAGGCTCTTCCTCCAAACAACAAAGAAACCAAAAAAACCCTTTGAAGATCCACCCTTTTTTTAGGCCCATGACCTTCGGCCCCACGTTGCTTCTGGGTATGGATGATCGTGCTGCCAGGCGCTGGGATATTTTTGTTTTTCTGCGGGACTCGTGGTTTTCAGGGTGAAGGTGGGGGGTTCGCGTAGACATTGGTGGGGGTTCGTGTAGAATGTCTAGTTGGTGCTGGTGCTGTCTAGCTTGCTTCTTGAGCAACTCGGGGAGGGGGGGATCCCAGGGCGCCCCATCCACATGCAACCGGTGGAAGAAAAGCTTCCTGGATTTTCCACAGAAACTGAAGGAGTGAGATACTGCAGGGGATCAATCGGGGTGGTTTTGATTCTCTTTTTCTTGGGGTGGATGGGTCTTGTCGAAGCGAGTGCAGCGAGAACCATTATCTTTTGCAGAACCATTGTGTGTGCATGTTTTGACTTGGCTCGACTCGGAACCGAATTGAAACAGCTTCTGAAGAGTCGAAGGCGACTCAGCACATGCGCAACTGGTGAAGTTCCCAACATGTGCAGGGTCCGGTCTAGGATGCTGCTGGCGGTCGCAAAAGGCTGGGCAGCCCGTTTGCAGTATTATTAACTCTAAAATACTATAAGTTTGTTGATTGCAACCTGTTTTCGAGAAACTCATGTTGCAAGATGTGATGACATGTTTGTCAAACTCTGCAACGGGTCTCAACATCTAGAAGGGTTCACTGTTTGACTCAGTAGACGTGTTTGATACCGGAACCCGTGATTTTTGGCTATTCCAGAGCTGCTAATACCGCTGTCCAGCCCTGTCCAGCTCTATCATCTTCACCTTTGAACACTAATACCTGCAATCAGAAGACTTGTCAATCAGAAGGACCTTCTTTCCTGGGAACTGCTCCTTCATGTGGGTCGCACTGTAGCAGATGGCGTTGCTTCGCCTCTGTTCCGCCGGGTGGGTTCACCGGCTTTCCCGGCCGTGGTGGGTGCCTTCAGCCAGGATGAACTTCCAATGGCCTGACAATGCGAAGAAAGCCACGTTGTGGGTGCCTTCAGCCCTCAAAGAGGTTGGCACCACTGGCGGAGCACAGGCGCCTTCTGCGCCGCCGAGCTCCAACCTCACGAGCCGCAGAGCGTTTACCCCGTGGAAGGGTCGTGTGATGGTCCTTTCATTTGTCTGATTGGTTGGTCTGACACGAGATCCGCATTAGGAGTGCAGCAAAAGATGTGATTTGCAGTGGAAGCTTTTTGTAGGACACAGATTGCTAGATATTG